GTCGATCTTTTAAACTACGCAAGTATTTTAATACGGTTTTCAGCAATAGGTAGAATGATTCAAATAAAAGTTTAAATGTACTATATATGCATTATTACTAATTATTACTAATTATTATAGTAGATGAAAGCCGTGACATTCAATGTCTACTTTGCACCCGTGCGAAGCAAGGGCGGGTGGCTAGTTGGTTATAATTAAGTTATTCTTGTAATACTTATTAGAAAATTCCGATTAAGCTCATAAGTTTAAATATCACTTACCAATAAACCTATACTTAAAACTGATTACACAACAGTGTTCATTTTAGACTTTTCATCATATTTACACCTTGTACGGACATGAAATGACTCTGAACATCTGTATTTTATGATCCTAATTATTATTATATGTCTGAACAATAGGATAAATCTGAATAATAGGATTCAAATGGATAAAATTTTAAATTAAAAGCTTTTAAGCTTAGCTTCTTAAGTCACGATTTGTTACTTAATTGGTATATTACAATATACTTAAAAGTTTCTTTACGAGCGTTTATCACCTTCAATGACGAGGGTGTAAATTATACAAGGTACCTAACAAAAACCGAAAAAATTTTGAGTGTCCGTGAGTTTTTACATGAATAAAAATATATGTAAGATAAATGTAACCAGGTCACATGTTAATATAATAGAATTTTGTCGAAAAAGCAGATTTAACTAATATAACAAAGACGTCGTCAACTACGCCACTACATTGTAAGTAAAATGTACAACATACAGTTTACATATGAACGTAATAATTAAATACCAAAGATATTCAATGAGATAATGCGTGAAACTTTGGGAACACTATTACAAATGTGACACGACTAAATAGGAGAGCCACTCAAATAGTTTCCCGAGCGGAGTGGAGTGATAACAACGCAGATGCTTTCTATCGCCTGACCGTGTAACTAAGAACAAAGCTGATAAGCTTCATAATAATGTTAATGGAGCGAGAAACGAAACACAGTTGCACGACTTGTTTATATCGTCGCAGGAGTCAGGTCGTTTTAATTAAATTAAGAAATTTATCGTTGCAGTCGCAAAGGGATATTCCGACTGACGACATTTGGCAACGGTCCGTTCTCTTTGGCGGATCCATTTCAACAATGAACATCACAACTAGAACGTCCATATCAATAAACGTTTTCATAAAAATACGCCAGTCAGTTGTTATTGAGATTTCGATTTGTTTTCGACGGATCTTAACAAAAATTGTTCAATTAGGTACGTTCTATAAAATTTAGTTGGTAAGTGCTAGGTATCCTACTTGACGTATCTGTATTAATTATCCTTAAGGTCGGATATTTAAAAAAAAATCAGTTTTGTTAAATTTTTGCAAGGAAAAGATTTATTTTATTTTAATATTAAACCTCACTCAAAAATATACCTATCATCTGTTCGAAAAAACTAGAAAAAAAAAAATCGATTGTGATAACATTTACATTACATTTATATTTCTATAATTTACGCCCTCGAAATTTTTTGTGGTAACTCTAAAGATATTTTTAAGTACATTGTAATATATCATATATATGTATATTTTATAAAGTAAGCACTGTGTTTAATTTTGTTAACTTAATAAAAAATGCTTTTTTTTATTTTCACTTTCCATTAGTGCATTCTGTGTCTACCTTTAACCTTTAATTGAATTTATTCAATTTTATTACGTAAATTATCATGGCTAATCTTATTTACTCAAGCATACCTAATAAAATAATAAATAAATCAAATTCAACAAAAATAAATGAATGGTAGGAAGATATGTGTTTATAATCAAGATACGAAAACATTTTGAACTTTCGTCGAAAGTTTTCTAATAGCGAAGCTCGGCACGGATGAAGTGTATACATGGACAAACAATCTAGGGAGGGTCTCGCGCACTCCTCGTACAAATTGGGCCGGCTCCGTGCGATATTGTTCTTGTGCGAACCCATCCATAATGCCGGAATGAAGGCGGGCTTATGTAAGCACTGGCGTCTTCGTGCCTTGTTGGCGCAAGTGTTGCTTTTGTTGTATTATTACTTTTCTCCGCAGACTAATATCTGTGGGCGAAGTGTTGACGTGCTTGTGTTCGATATATGGTGTATCGGTTACGTAATATTGTTTAATTTATGTTAGCATTTAAGTATTTCTATCACTACATAGTACCTATAAAACAAAGTTCCCGCTTCTGTCCCTATGTATGCTTAGATCTTTACAACTACGCAACGGATCTTGTAGCGGTTTTTTTTACTACATAGAGTGATTCAAGAGAAAGGTTTATATGTATAATACATTGCACCCGTGCGAAGCCAGGGCGGGTTGCTAGTTTAACAATATAAGACTGGATAAAAATCTGTGATATTAATCCCACTGTTATTGTTACTCGTTTGCACATTTAGCTGATTACATTTTGTCTGTAGTCTTCATAATTTCCAAGTAACAATAACTTGCTTTGTTCCCACAAAATTTTATGTACATATTTTAACATACAAATTGAGGCTAAAATCTCAGCAACGTCAGATCACAATATACTTAAGAATACCATATTTAAATACAGTCCGATTGAAAGGTTTCTGAACTAAAGTGAGACGACTTTGAATTAAAAAAAAATAAGATAAAATAATTTTCAATCAGCTGTGTTTACTATTTCAGACGTGAAATTTTTCTTCGCTGTAATAATGTTAATGTTTAATGCTTAATAAATAAAGGACGGATATCATACAAATTAAAAGTATATTTGTTATTGTTTTCCATTATTAATATTCAAGTCAAGCTTGTTACATGTTAAATATGTTATTTCTTACATGTTATAACATGTGAATCGGTCTTATATATCTGTCAGTACATAATTGGAATAATAATATTAAGATGCCTAATTAAACTTAACCACGTTAAAGAAGGCATTGGGTATTTATATTCCTACACTTCGACCAAATGATGTTACTCAAGTTTTTCACCGCCAATTACCATATGCAGACGTATGAATTGGTCCCCGCTGATATATTAAGACCTTTAAGCGCGGAGCTGGTAAGTGCCTCGTTTGGGAGACGCAACATTAACTTATGGATTTAGAAATGAGTGTTGGAATGCCGCTTGGTAATGTCAATAAGGGCAGGAGTCAAGCTCGACTCGTAGGAAGTTTAGTCGGAGCGATTAAAAAAATTCAAAAAAGATCTTATCGATCTTGAGATTGTGGATTCCGTGGAATATGAACTGAATAAAAACTCGAATCACCTTTGTCAGAAAGGAGGTTTTTATTTTTCTTTGTATAGCTCCGCGGAATAATTTCGAATTTTGAAACATCGGGTAGTCGAGACGGTGGAATCGCCCCGTCTCGGATAACGGGCAGACGTGCTCTGCAACTGTAAGAAACTATTTTGAGTCTGCCGCATACGGAATTCTCCGAAAGCGTTGAGCTTAATGTTCTCAAATTCACCCATGTATAACGTGAATTTTCTCCTATAAACTATAATTTGATATTCATATTAACTCCAGTAACGAATACATTCAACTCATTTGACATAAGAGCGCTAAAATTATAACTGGCAGGCTGAAAAGCCATCGTTCTTTTCTAAAAAAAAATCTTGTCTCCGCAAAAATCGTGCTCGGATACAATTGGCCCGTAAACCGCGAGGCGCGAACGTTTATCCGGGAACGATATTGTTATGCCCGCTCCTCTCCAGGCGCTCGGCGAGCCGCGGCATCATATACCTACTGCGACGTCGCAGCCTCAAATTTGAAATTGGAACGAACAGAAGAGCCCGGTAATGGCGCAAGTTAGATGAGGGGGGTGTACAGTTCACTCTCTATCGTCGAGCGGATGAAGCGCGCAGAGAGGATGTAAAACTCGAACTACGAAACTCCCAGACTCCGTTGGTCGTTTTGGAATAATGAAAAAAGAATCTCGGATCCAAACTCGACCGCCATGCGTCACTAGAATTTGTAATCAAATCAACGCGCTCCATGCCATATGAATATGTATTTTAATAAAGTAATTGCGTGTTGACGTAAATTATCATCTATTTTAAACGCAACAGTCCCTGAACACTAAACTTTGTGCTGCCCTTTATGGATGAATATTACAATAATAAACATATTATTTAAGATTTAAATTTATTTTTGGTCTTTAGCAAGACTATGGACTAAAGACTAAATTTAAACTAGCCTAAAGGCTAATTCTAATCAGAAATAAATAGAAAATCGGCTGGCTCCACTTTAGGTTAACAGTCTCGTTATCGAAATCGCCTGTAAAACTAGTAAATTAAACCCGAAAGCCCCGTACAACGCCGCAAAGGTCCACAGTTCATTGACATTATCGGAGTCATCTTGAAAAGTCCGACCTTTTCTCAATGCACCTGACACGTCGCTTTCGCCTCTTCGCAGCTATCAATTATGCACGCCTGCATGCACGTAGTCACAAGATTATACGCTCCGAGCCAGTACGTGGCTATTCAAGTATAAGCTTACGGCTTTAGAATATGTTAAAATATAATACTTCAACAAAGGGAGCATCGACGTCTCTTTCAAACAACAACCTAATGCATACGAGTAAAAACCGATGCATCTATTATTATAGAAATATCTGTCACTATTCACATATAATGGATTATTTATTATATTACAATTAAATTTTATATGTTTAAATAAATAGCACACTGGCGCCACCATAAAAGCGCCTTTGGCGGGATCAAAAATAAAACCTTCGATCAACGCCACCCTGCGGCGGACGGCTGAAGCTTTTCAATTGCCATTTTTACGGGCCCGACAGTGCTCCCGGTGTGCGTGACGAACCGACGCACACTTCCGCACAGAACGCGTTTCGCGCGTGCGTGTAGTTGTGCGTTTTATATGTTGCGTCACGTTCCATGTGCCTACAACGGTCGCGGCGGAGTCGTCGACTACGCTCGTTGTCCGCCCGTTAGATAGATGGCATTGGGTGTGCCTTATGTACGCTTCGTCCTCTCGATAGATAAATTATTTGTATCGGGCACTCACCAGTCGAAAGCAGGTGTAGGTGCGCTCGCTCGCAGCGTTTTCATCACACATGTTTTCGTGAAACGACCGATCGTTTGAGAGTGCGGCGTCCGAGTAGCACGTTATATAAATACGTAAGCGGGAACGAATTTAGACACAGCCACTGCTCGGTTTTAATTAAATTAAAAGCAAAAAAAAAATACAGAAAGCAAACAACGCGAAGACGTGTTCGCCAGCGCGTGGTGGTTCCATAACTGCTGTGATAAATAGAATGAATTTCGTTGCACATAGTGAAAAGTTGTCGCTGGGGAATGTAGAGCGAAACTGCCCGCGCCATTGTTTAGTTTGCCGATTTATACGGCTCGGTTACACTTGCGCCTTTTATTGAAGCATTACCGATAAAAAGAGTCATAATGGGTTTTATAGGCAGATTTTAATGGCGATATGCGACTCACGCAGATTTACACTTCGAGCGCTGGGTCAGAGGCGCGTAGCTGCCGCTACGTTGGTATCAAGAAGGCCCTAAAAAGTACATCAAGGACTCTATGAAATAGTACACACATACCTCTTCAAAAATCTTTATTACTTATTACTTCTTTATTACAAGTAAAATTTATAAAAAAAAGTAAATGATATAAGGAACAGTTATACTTAAGACATTCAACATATGTTGCTTTATCTAAAGTTGAAATAAAATATGAATCAAAACCAATAGTGAAAGATATTTTTACATAAAATTCGAATACTTTTACTTAATTGAACTTTCTTGGGGTAATTTTTTTTTTTAAACATTGCCCTCACTTTTGGATAAACGTTATCCTGTGTTGTGAGGACGTTTTTACGAACATAAATTTCACGTGGACAAACACCCAGATGCGAAACAACTATCTGTGGGTCGCACAAATAGTTGTACCGTGTGGGAATCGAACCCACGACCCCCGACGCCGAAGCCAATACCTTGGCAACTGCGCCACGGAGTCATTAAAAAAAATTAAACATAAAAACCAAAAAAAAATATATAACATCTATGTTATATATTTTTTTTTCATCGTTTTTACCTAATATGAAGCAAGCCAACAATATAACCAGTATCATTTTGTAACATTTCTACAAACAGAATTTCATATTTCCTTTTTTCCCCTTTTAAATAAAAATTTTATTTATTTAAAAATTTAACGAAACGATTGCTAATGCCTTTAAGAACGAAAGATTGACCCGCCCAAACTATGCATTGGCGTCACCGCATTTCAAATCTAGATGCGTCTATCTCGTAAGCGTCGTTAGAACCGATCTAAATCTAGATGCGTCTATCTCGTTAACGTCGTCAGAACCGATTTCAAATCTAGATTCGTCTATCTCGGTAACGTCGTTAGAACCGATTTCAAATCCAGATGCGTTTATCTCGTTAGCGTCGTCAGAACCGACTTCAGATCTAGATACGTTTATCTCGTTAGCGTCGTCGGAGCCGATTTCCAATCTAGATTCGTTGATTAGCAATTCCGCGGCAACAATGGGCGTTTATCGGCGGCGTTATCGAGTTTAATGCGCGTGGAAAGTCGCGCACCTTATCGGGGGAGACGTGTTCCATTTCGTTATCGGCGCGCGGTTGTTATTGCGCCCGCTATATGGTCTGTTGAGATTGCCGCGGCCGCCTATTTTAAAACAATTCCCTAGCTGGGGCGAACGCGCGCGCATCGCGAACGGACACGTATCAACTACATTATGTACAAATAAGAAGTTCGTATGACAATATCGCGCTAAAATTGAGGCACTCAAATTACGGCAGTTGTCGTAATTGATCAGTCTGCTATCTCTTTCCGTGTCATATTATGTTCTATATAATCTGTCACATTCATTTATATCTTCATATATTTAATTCTTCCTAAACGGCTGGACATTTTTTGTGTGCCTTCAAGTGGATTCGATAATGGTTTGGATTCACAATTCGGGACACTACAGTTTCTTTTAATTTATTTATTTTTTAAGTTGTCGGATTTAAGTCGTGTGTACAGGACGTCTGTCGCGTCCGCTAGTATGTTATATAATGATGAAAAGCGGTAATATTTATTAAAGCCGTGCAGTATCGACATGCGTCAATTTTATTAAAACATCATAGACACGTATTCGCCCATACAACACGCCGTAGTATTTTACTTTAATTTGATTTTTTAATCGACGCTATAATAAGGAAGAACTTAACTTAACTAAGGAAACTTATTTTTATATTTAGTCTAAGACCTCATATTTAATAAAGCTAATTATTATTAAATGTATACTGTTTCATTTACTCTTTACTATTTTGGAGAACAATTAAAAAGGGCCTCACATAAGCACTAATCAATCTCTTGAAAGAAAAATATAGATATGAATCAAAACAGTTATTAATCTGATGGAGACAAAAAAATGAAAATGATGATAAAGAATTATAAAGGATGTACAAACTTTCTTTATTATATTATTTATCTTCACTAATTGCGGAGAATAAGCCCTATAACTGGCGATACGATATGCATTCACTTCTAATAGCAATTCCCATATAATTTCCCCCAACTCAACTCCGCACTCACAACATCATTCATTTAAAAGAGCATTTCCTACGAGCTAAAGCGTATCACAGTTCGTTTTTAAAGGTATAGGCATTATCAATATTTATTAATAATAATATATTAATTATAAATATAATTTACAAAATAATAGTTCATATAAATTCAGTTGTAGGGTAAAAATATATAAGCAACAAGCTAAAATAGGCTAAAGGCGTGACATTCAGACAGAAAGACAGATATATATTCAACGGTGGTAGAGCCACGCAGCATCCTCGGCTGTTGCACGAATGGGCAGGCTCGTCCGGGTAAGTACCACGACCTCACAGAAGACCGGCGTAAAGTGGAAGTATGAGAAATACTTTCGCGTTTCGTCTGGTGAGTGAGGTAGCCGGAGCCCGATTTCCAAAAAGGTTGTCAACGCATCTGCAAACCCTGGGGTGTAGCAGATGTTCATGGGCGGCGGTATTCACTTAACTTCAGGTGAACCGTCAGCTCGTTTAGCAACTTTTCACATATATTGTTTTCTTGATTTTACGCGAATATTATACATATTAAATTAAACTACTTTACGGATTTTATCGCGTTTTTTTTTTATTTTAATTTAAATTCCCGACGTTTCGAACCCTTTCCAGCGTTCATGGTCACGGGACAGACTAAGTTGTTAGACGTCTTGATGTCATAGTTAACCCCGGCTACCGTCAATTATTTTGTTTATTTTTATTCCGATCCACGCAGAAGGAGCTTATGGTATCTTGAGGTCTGGCAGTGTTGGTGTGCTTGGATTTAATTTTATAAATTATGGGATCCCAAGCAGATGATAAACTCCAACCATCTTCTCTATTGAAATTAGGATGTTTCTTTATTTCAATAGCCTCGCGGATCATCCTTGGAAGGAATCGGTGTTCTTTTGCGAGGATTTTCGGTTGATCAAATCTAATGTAGTGGTTGGGGCGGTCTAAAATATGATCACAAACTGCAGACTTCTTCAACCGTCGGTGCTTCACGTCAGCTATGTGTTCTTTAATTCTGTTTTAATTGATCGTTTTGTTTGTCCTATGTAAGAGAGCCCACAATCGCAGTCAAGCTTGTACACTCCTGGATCTTGTAGAGGGATATTACACTTGACAGATGGTAAAAATTGACTTATCTTCTTCGGTCGGGAATTTAAATTAAAATAAAAAAAAACGCGATAAAATCCGTAAAGTAGTTTCATTTAATATAACTTTTCACATAAATATACATAAAATAGGTATATTAATTATATAAGCTATATTATTGTAAAGTTTCATTAAAATCCATTCAGTAATATTTGCGTGAAAGAGTAACAAACATCCATCCATACATACAAACTTTCGCCTTTATAATATTAGTAAGGATAATAACCGACGACATAAGAGTCGTGAGCAAATGGCAAAGTGTCGTTCGTTATGGCATTTTAGTGACATATGAAAAACTACATGAAAATAATTTTAAACTGTAATAAATATGTATAATAATGTAAAATAACACAAAATAAAGGATTATCAATAAAACACATTGATTATGAATTAATGCAGATATAAAGAAACAACATATAAAGTTCCATCAACAACCGAAAAAAAAATAATTGGCCTTTTCTTGTGTCTTGTTGTTGAGGAAATTATAATATAGTATGATATCGTATAACACACCAATAACAAAATGAAAGACAAAAAGACCGCATATCAAAAACATATGTAAAAATAAGAACAGTGATGAAATATACAACAAACAAACTATTAAACTACTTTAAGTCTTAATAAAATTAACAATAAAATCGAACAAACAAATCTTAATGACATGAATTATTCAATACAACCTCATTTAAGCCTTTGTAAGCGAAAAGTGGACGAAAAACAAATAATTTAAATGTTACTGAGGCTCGCTTAGCATTAAACTATTAAGAAAATGGAAGCAGACATCTTTAATAACTTCATTTCAATATACAACTCGCTGTAACCAGCTTCGTTACGGTGTAAAGTATTTCATGGTTCTTTAATTAAGTAAAGAACAAATGCCTCCGTTACACGTTGATGGAACAGGAAAAATAAAGTATTGCTAAAAATAAAGTTTTTGTTAGGAAAAATAAAGTTTTGCTAATTGTTCACTTTATATGCTGCGAAAGCTTTAAGATATAACGTACATGTCTTTATTAGAAATCTTCTCTAGTGTATTCCATTTATATTGGAATACAAAAGAAGCAAATTTTGAGTTCGTCTTAGGTATATAGGTATTAGGTGAAACTTTATGACAGGTGCATTAAGTAAAAGGATACTTTTACAACTTCATGAATAGTCTTAGTATTTTTGTAAGCATATATCCACATATATGCTTACAAAAATACAACATCTACATTTGTTTTAAACCTGCAAGCAATTGTGTTTATCCATGTATACATAGTCGGTAGTCACGAGTCAAATTACCATTTAAAAGCAAAGCCTTCATTTTTATGTTCATTATGTATATATCAGATTTTGACAAAAGACATTATCCATGTTTTTTTTTATTTCGGTTGATGAAAATGTAAATTCTCATAAGTTTGGATTAAATAAGTAAACAAAATACATATCATTTTAGAGAAAGATTATCCGTAAGATATTGTAGGTACGGTTAAGAAACGGGGATTGAAATTGAAAACAATTTAATAGGTATTCGAGATTCTCTAAGTACGCCTCCTTCGACCAAGAGGCAGTGACCTCAACACCCCAGCTGATCGCCCGCCGTTAAGCCTCCACAGTGTATGACGTCATAGCTTTTTTCACCTCGTGATTTACAGCCCGACCATAAACTCCACAATAACAGTACAGATTGTTTAACAGTTAACCGCAATGTTTAAACCCTTTCTAGGTAGACGTTGTTTCGGTGACTTTTTGCTCCAGTTTCGCCCGGGTCCCCATTGTGTACAACGCGGGTCGTTAAAGTTGCGCAATTATGCAAAAAATCATTCGAAACTTGCATCGATACTCGGACAATGCGCGCGTAGTTAGACAAAACGCATTTCGGAATTGATTTTCTGCGACGGCCATTGTCAGACACAAACGTGCTCGCTTAGCCGGAATACAGACCATAAAATGCAAAATACACATCTTTGTAACGCCGTTACGAAGGTTTCCATTTAACACAATATGACCAATGCCATTCTAAATGGGAATATTGGAATAGAAACGGCAATAAACATATTTTGTGTAGCTTAGGTTAGACGAAAGATAAACAGCTTGATACGTTATATTAGGTTTTATCAAAATTTTATAATTTACTTTATGTTCTTTTCGATTTTGTGTTTTAATATAACAGACACATGAAAATCTCTCCAGATACGTTAGATATTTTTTTCTACATGTTTTAATTTACGTTAGATATGTTCAAATCTTACCCATTAAGATATTGTCTATAAGAGAAGTTATAATTTCACTAACCGTTTAGTTATAATTACGGTATGTACAGTAAAAGTACTTACCATGTGTTGAATTGTTCAGGAACGCTAATATAATTTATTTGGAATGTCGAAGCTCTTCTTGAATTATAATTTAATCAAACATAATTGGCTATAAAACTCCGAAGTTGGACGGATATTACGCGAAAAGGATGACAAACTCCAGCTAACAATTTTCAGTTTCTAGTAGCGCTAAAGTGTAGCTTTAAGCGAGATGTGGAAAATAGAAAAAATTATTTCCTCCTGGTTATTTCTAATTTCCATATATGTATTAGCAAACCTATTGTTTCTATAATCACAAAGACCACCAGAATAAAATATGTGCATCGACCTTGAATTTTTAAATAAAATTATTCCGGGAACTTAATTATAATAAAAATTGGACCTAAAATTAGCCATTAGCTATTCCCTAAAAACACTAGGTGTAAGATTTTGAATAAAAGTGAGGAAAAAATTTTGCTCCTAATGTCATCCTTTTTGTTTTCTTTTTCGACATTGTAGACTGTCTACAGCTACGCGAGACATGGAGCTTGTTCAAAGGCGTCATGCCTGTGGTATTTTGCTGTGTTTAGTATGCGGCATTTTATCGGCCCAGCGCAGAACACCATTACATCTAGAACGCTACACCGGCGATAGATTCTCGAGAGTTCCCTTATTGTTTCCATTACAGGCGGCGCCCCCCGGCGTCGTCTGCCCGG